GCTAACCAACAGTTTGTTATAAATAACAGAATAAATAAATCCAGTGAATAAGTGCTTAAGATGTAGACATGAATAATCTATACACAGTGTAAATGTTGCTATATTCCAGACAGAAGACACTTTTCAGTTGGCGTGTTTCTGTAAGTACAGCTAACACATTGATTTTAATTAACTATGTAAATAAAAACATTAGAAAGGGCTTGATAAGCTTCGCTTCATTGTGTCACTTTAAACCTCAACTGCTGCCTACTCGCAGCAGCACGGTTGGCAAACAGACACAACATGGGTAAAGGTCAATAAAAAATAAATAACTTTTCAGACACTAACACTAAATTTTTAATAATAGTAATATTTTAATATATATTAATAATAATAATAGTAATAACGCATACTTTATCAATCCTGTAGGAAATTGCTAGTCCTCTACATTTAACCTATTCACTCAGTGAAGCAGTGGGTATGGTACCTTGCTCAAGGGTACCTCAGAGGAGCCATTCGGTGGTTCTAAACCCCTGACGTTCCGATCATGGGGCGAATACTCTACCCACTAAGCTATCTCTGCCCTATTTTCTTTTCTTCTTTTTTTACTTACAGGTCAGGCCGTCCACAGACTGGGCGCTGTTCTGGGGGTTCCGGTAAATGTTCAGGAGGGCAATCGTCTGAAGCACAAACGTTGATGATGATGATGAGCACTTATACACATTGGGTATCAAATTATAATATTTAGCAGATCAAGCCAATCCCAAAATCAAAAATTTTGATTGTAAAGTACACTTTTAGTTTGTGTGCAGTTTATTAACTCTTATCTGCCATTTCTGTGAGGTCTGTGCTGCTCTTTTATCAATTTAAATACTAGAAATAAAACTGGGGGATCGGCAACTTACCTGGCTAAATGTCGGCTTATTGTGTAATCTGGAGCAGCGGTCACCATGTCGGCAGGCACCAATTTTAAAATAAAAAGAGCAGTTCACCCTGTAAAACAAAATATATTATGAGCACTGAAAAATGGGAGGCTGTGCTCTGAGGTCAGGTAAACATAAAAACAATGTTTATTAATATTTCTGAATCCAAAAAAAAAACAAACAAACTGATAGCCTAAACGATCTAGATGGGACTAGAAGACATACAACACATAACAAATAACATTAAAAAGAACAAGTATGGAAAACCCTGTGAACTCCTGGTAGTTTACATGACTACTGACATTATTTCTTATTTCATTGTATCTTCTTCCAGCTGCTCCTACCTCAATCTGCCTGTCCTCCCTCACATTCATCAATTGTCTGTTGTTTTCCTCTTTTCCCTCTTTCCTAGCAGCTCCATATTCAACATCCTTTGTCCGGTATTTTCACCATGTCCAAACCATCTTAACCTTGCTTCTCTATCGTTGTCTCCAAATCACTCAACTTGAGCCATCCTATTTTACATATATACTAATTTCTAATCCTGTCCATCAAGGTCATTCTCAATGTCAATCTAGCATATTCAACTGTTTTTTTTTTTTGTCAGTGCCATTATCTCCAAACCATACATCATAGCAGGTCTCGCCCCTGACACTCCTCCTGCCTGCACACTCTTCTTCAACTGTTGTTTCGGATGACTGTATGGCCCAATATTTCAGAATTGTTTATCATACTGAAGAAAGTACGTTTCCATCACCTTCGAGTTGTACCATTTACTTAAATGGTAAATTTCAAAATTCTATTGTACAAAAAAATCAGCTCAATTTCTTCAAGATCGCCCTGCTCTAATACACCCAAACTACTGCTGGTTACACATTACACTTTCACTTTACATGATCATTTAACTCAGTATTGAACCGTTTTCACTCAGTATTATTATTAAAAAAAATGTTAATAACAACCCATGAAGTTTTACACGTTTTCATTTCAATGTCTGCTTTACATTTCTACGAGGCTACGTTGCTTCATTGGGCATAAAAACGCTTTTTTGTTGGCGGTTCAGCAAATTAACTGTTACAACTCGGAAAGAGGACAATAGAAAACAGTACAATGAATAAAATAGCGGTCTAGACAAATTACAAAGACGAAGTTTATTTACCTAAATGCGATTAAGGAGCACTTGTAGTATGTTGGAGGTTTCCATTGTTTCAAACACGTGTGAGTTTTACAAAGTATGATATTTGTTAACGCCAATAAAGGGTCTAGTTTGTGCACCGCTTACGCTCAACTTTGATTAGTGAATTTACTATATTTTCATTTAAAGTTACCCGCTGTGATTGCTTTCTGACCAGCTCAGCACTGTTCATCACCCAGATGTTGCTAGCTAGCTTTTAGCACGAGCGGCGCGGTTTTTCACTTGCGAAAGCTAGCATATCGCGCTAGCAGATAAAGCCACAGAAGCCTAGCCAGCTGCATGCTGTAAATACCACGAGACCAAATACTGTCAGTAAAAAGTAGCCATAGGATAAACAGATGAAAATTAAGACTGAAATTACCAAGTTAACATTAAATACTTACTTATCTTTTTCTGTCCCAAAAATGGATGCTAGGTACTCCGCCATCTTGGCTCGCTTGTAGCGTCAACAATTGTATTTCCGGTAAAGGGCCTCCAAAGTAAAAGCCTAACCTCTGTCTGCGCTAATAATAAAATAATTTAACAGTTTATAAGGCACCCATGCATAGTATATTTGTAAAATTATTATTATTTGCCAGCATAGGGAACTGTCATTTAAATGTAAAATGTAAAATGTGCTCAACTGCATAATGGTGGCATCATTAAGTGAAATTATCCACTGTACAATGAACGGTTAAAATTTAGTTATTTATGTGTGGCTCAAGAGTTAAAGTTTCTTTTGTTTCTTGCCCCTTTTCTGTTTTTTTAAGACTAGAAACTCCCAAAATATTCCTCAACAGAGAAAAATCATTTATATTTGTACAAAAGCCCCATACTCTTACAGATTTTACATCTGATTATTTTTTTTATATCCAGCTAATTCGACCCTTAATCTAGCAAATCTAGAGTTGACATATTTCAGAATTCACTAATCAACTTAAACTTGTTTTAAATTCTGATAAAACGAGGTCTATATTATACACAAGCTTATTTAAAAGTATCCAGCCAGTCCATATTGAAACAAAATGAAACTACTGATTCTTATGGATGTTTAAGACTCTGCCTGGATGCTAGTCTCATTTTTAAGACCCATGTGGAACACCTATGAAGAGAATTAAAAGGAAAGATTGGATTCATATTTTGAAACAAATTCTGTTTTTCAATCATTAGTCATCAAATAGCTTTAGAAGTCACAATTTTGTCTCTGTGTTATTATGGTAATATTGCTAATATGCATGCTTCTGCATCCATCTTCAAGTTTCTTGATTCGGTCTCACAGTTGTAATTTATCAAAGCTGAATCTTTTCTTATTCAACCTTGCTGTAATATGAAAAGGTGGTAGCATTGTGTGATGTTTATTTCCAAAGTTATACTGCAAAGATTGCCTGATTACCTCTGCTCTTTGATTACTATTAAATCAAAAATTAGATTTAAATGGAACAAGCAACAAGTCTCTGATTTCACTGGATCTGCATCTGTCTGAATCCCCGTATTCTTTTTCTTTCTGCACACAAACATTTTTTAAAAGATCTCAATCTCAATGCATCAACCTGTTTAAATGCAGGATTTAACAACAGTTCACATGTATCTGTGTGTATTTGTTTTCCTTAGAAATGGTTTAATAATTTATCGATTTAGCTTTCATGATTACATCATTAAAAAAAAAAAAAAAATGATAAATTACTGCAACATCTAACACCTTGAAATACATGAAAATGAAACACAAAACTGACTTGCAATGTTTTACAAATAAAATAAGAAAACATGAATCCTATGGACTTCATCAGGAGATATTTATTTAGTAATCTCTATATTTTACATGTCAAAACATTACAGGGAATCAAAAGGAAACATAACCACATGTTTAGTGGATAGATTGGCTGGTCCATTGCATTATGTTTGCGGCGAAAAAATGAACAGCAAAAACACATGTAGGGTCTATTCCAATCAAAGTACAATTAGAATAACACTTTAACGATTTAGCTTTCCTATTAGTTATAATCCCATCAGTTATAATAATGCACATCAATATAGTCATGGACAAAAAACTGAAACTAGACCCTGAAAAGTAAAGTTTATATATTTACTTACAATGTCATGTTTGATATAAAGCACTTTTCACAGACAGACAGTCACAGTGTTCTGTACAAAATAAAAAGTAGGAATAATCAGAAATAAAAATATAATAGCAACTTAAAATGCAGTTTAAAGCAAAAAATAACCCAACATGTTAGAAAAGAGAACACCAAAAAAAAAAGCGAGAATAACATAATAATCTTAGTAGAAATCTGCGTTTTACAGAGGTGGTGTGTGTCAAAAGGGGAAAATTCAGCCTACTCCTAAAAGGAAAAAGAAGTTGAGATAGGGGATCATCTGGGGATGCATACAGCTCATTTCTTTGCCCAGAGGAACTGTTGCAAACATTTGAAATAGCCCAGTACAAAACTTATACTTTTTCACACGCTTTTCAGAACTGAAAACAGTCTGTAGCATACATTAAGGAGAAAAAATCAGTTACGGGAGGGCATGGTTGCAGTAAATAATTAAATTTATGGTAACATTTTTCAAGAGACCTTTATATTTACAGTTGGTTCTATTAAAAGGCAGTTTTATTTAGCCATTAATGCCAATCTAGTCAGGATACATCTGGACTGGACATTTGTTCCTAAATTGCCACAAAGTTGGAGCTGAGAAATGCACGTCCAGCTAGTATGGAAACATTTAGCTGGCGGTTTTTCACTACACACACTTTAAGGTAACTACAGTCTCTCCGGTTAGTCTCCGCCCCTCCTCAGATTGAGTGTAGTTGGCTAAAAACTTGCATGATATCACTCGACTGTGTGCATTTTTTTGCCGATTATCTGCCACAATAGAACATCAACATCTCTGAAGGTCTAAATTTTAAGAGGTATGATTATTTCAGAGACAGATATGCTTGTTGTGAGGAAAATGTACCACACCGTCGTCACGTTTGTTGTATCTGGGGTGTTCCCGCTATTTTATGTAGCTCAAGCAGCAAAGCTAACCTAGCTAGCGTGTTGTTGATTCCTAGTCAGCCTGCTGGGAAGAGGCCGCCCACCTACGAGGCAGAAACCCACAGTATTAGCCAACTTCCACAAAGGCTAGGCTAACGCTGGCTCCCTCGGACTTTTGCTTCCTCTTCGGCTTGAAGATAGAAATAACGTGGGTTGTTATAGCAGCCGCTAGTTAGCTGTTTTGCTAACAGCACAGTGGAGAAGCTGCGTACTGTCGCGGTGCTGATTACCGTCCAACCACAAACTCAGGGTGGGTATAATTCCATACGCGGTGAAACTGATTTTTTTAGTTCTTTCTTCCCCTTATTATCCATTTACACGTCTAAACGAGCGTTGTTTCAGTGTATCTCGGTCGCTTTCCTCTAAAACTTGTCGTTGGATCGATCATCGCTGCTCTCGGAAGTCTTGCAACGCTGTAAAACCTTAGCCAGGATTTCCGGCTCCTTTCCATTTGCCCTATGCTGTTTTGTTTCCGTTTATTCTATTTCCGTTTTAAAAGTTTTCTACGTGCAGAGTTAAAGTGTACTAGATTTGCTGAAGTTACGAAGCACTCGGAGTTTATAGGATATTTTCACGGTTGTTTAGCACGCCGGGATCGATGGTTGTGTAATGCAGCTGCCTCGCCCCGCGTTGCTATATTGAAGCTAACTTGTTTTTTTGAAGGCCTGCTTCACTGTACACGTGTAGCCTAACGCATAAATTTGAGTTGGGTGAATTTTTTCAACACGTTTTTTGGACGTGTAGTTATACTTGGTTACTATTTTCTGTAACTACTGGCCTACTAGTTGGCCTTTAGAAGCCACAGCCTCGCTCTCGAGTTGGCTAACGTTAGCAGTCACTGAACTGTTGTAGACGGCCAATGAGGAGTCGAGGCTGAGAGGCCTTTATGGTAGAAACCCCCCATCAAAGTGCCCTGTTTTATTTAACAGGCACAGTATGCTCTTTTAAGTTACATGACAGTGAAGTCGTCATTGTTATTTACACTGTAGTATGCATTAGTTGTTTGTATTATTTCGATTAAAGAAATTACAACAGAAAGGTGTTATTGTAGTGATATTGCCCTGTTAATACCTAGTTTCATATTTATTTTTAAACTTTTTTTTAAAGAACGTAATTATTCGTTTAATAATTTGTTAGTTTAAAAGATCTATTAAATATAGTTTTTCAAGTATGTTTATTTTAGGAATTTATTAGAATATTACAAGCTATATCAAAACAACCACTATTATGTTTATTTTCACTTTATTTTTACTTAAATATTTTTAAAGTAAGTTTAGTAATTTAGTAGAAGAATAAAAGATCAATTAAATATCCACTTTTATTTATTTTATTTTTTTTTACTTTAAATTACTATTTTAAATGATTATTAGTTCTATCAAAAATCAACCTTTGTTTTTATTTATTTATTTATTTTTTACAATTTTAAGTAAAAATATTACTTGATTAATTTATTAGTTGACTAAAAAGATAAATTTTGTTTAATCATTTTATACTGTATTTGTTATAATTTTGTTTTACAAAACCAAAATTTGCTTGCACCAACTTTGGCTGTTTAAAATCATTTTTGTGATTTAAAAATATATTTAATCAATATTAGTCTTTACAAATGGGTTAATTAAATTCTGATTAAAATATATTTTTGTTTATGGATTGTCTAAAAGTAACTAAGGTAACAAAGACTCTTTCCCCATATAAATATATGTGGACCAGTCCTTCTTACATGTGTAGTGACCCCCAGAGGCCTGCTTTGGATCTGAAAAAAAAAATTATTGTGCATCTCATGTTATAAAGTTATTCCAAAAAAACCCAAAACAAAAGCACATGCATTGATAAGTCAGTGCAACATGGTGTTGTGTTGGTTAGCACCATCACCTGGGTTGGAGTCCCGCCGAGCTGTGAACGTAAACTGGATAAGCAAGAGGAGATGGATGGATGGAATACCATTAATAATCACTACAAACATCAATTTGATGTGCTGGATAGATTTTTGGGTTTTCTAATTAAAATTAGCTGTTTAATTTAACAGTGAGGAGGAGGATAGAAGCTAATTATAGTTTTTTAGTTTAATTTTAGCATTTTTAAGTGATTAATTAGGTAGTGTGGCCAGCTACCTAATTAAGAGTTTATTGGTTCTTTCCTTTTATGCTGATTATCTGGTTGTCAGTAATTTTTGTTTAATGTGTCACTTTATATTCGTGTTGGTAAAACGTTATCTCCCAGCAGAATGTCTAAAAGTGAGCCAGAAGAGATGATAGAGATCGAGATAGATGAACGGGAGAAACAGGCATGCCTGGAAGAAGGGTGAGAGAGATGATTGCATAAATAAAACAATTAATTTGTTCATGCAGCAGCTGTGTTTTTACATTTCTGTCTCATGTTATTTGATTTGTAGTGTTGAGGAGCAGACCATCACTGCGTCAGACTTGATTCAGCAAGATATCGACATAAACGAACCAATTGGTAATCTGAAGAAGCTTTTGGAGCCTCGTATCCAAATCTCATTGGATGCTTATGAAATTTGTTTGCAGGACATTCAGGTAAGAATTAGATAATGACACCTTTCATGATCTGTTTATGATTAAATTATTTTTGTTTGGTCCTGGGTTGAACTGTTTCTCACTGCTGTCTCGTTTTATCTGTTCTTTTCGTCTTAGCTCCACCCTGATCACAGTCTCTTCGATCAGGGAGTAAAGACTGATGGCACAGTGCAGCTCAGCCTGCAGATAATAACCAAACCAGGTACCAAAAGCGTGACACATTTCATATCAAGTACTCAAGTCAGTAAAGAGAGAGTACATTTTAAAATGCATTGTTTTTACTTTTGTTTCTAGGAGAGGAGAGGTTGAACATCTTGGAGATTGTAAAGCCAGTAGAAACAGTTGAAGTAGTGATTGATCCAGATGCAGCAGGGGAAGAGGGTGCTCTGGTGGAGGAGGGACAGCTTATTGCTGTAGAGCGGTCTGCCCTGTCTGATGAGACCTCAGAGCAGGTTACACGTTGGGCCGCAGCTCTCGAAGGCTACCGGAAAGAGCAAGTCCGCCTGGGCATACCGTACGGTGAGGAATACTTGAATGAACTACCTTATTTTAGTGGAAAACAATCATTATTGTGCTAACAAACAAAGACACAAACACGGTTGGTAATGTGTGAGGTTTCTCTCCTCAGACCCTATGCTCTGGTCTGCTGATCAGGTGATCCACTGGGCCGTGTGGGTAATGAAAGAGTTTAACATTGATGAGATGGAAATAGGAAGCATTCACATCCCAGGGCGAGACCTCTGCACTTTCACTCAGGAGGAGTTCCTTCAGAAAGTGCCCAATGGAGAGATACTCTGGAGTCACCTGGAACTCCTTCGCAAATGTAAGTCTGAGTCAAATGTTTGTTTCAGCTGATGGAATAAAATGTGTTTTCATGCCAAAATGGAACTAATATTTTGTGCTAATTTCAGACGTGTTGGCCAGCCAGGACCAGTCTGGAGGAGACGCCACCGTCACGATTGATCAGCGTAAGTGTTAGAGTGAAAAATCATCTAAAAGACGATTAAAATAACTGTTTACCTTACACTGAAGAACTCAAATGGATGAGTGATGAACAAATGTTCCCTCTAAGCTATGCGTGTGCACAATTGCGCACTGCTGGCACGGTCTCTGCGCACAGAAAATCTGCGTTGCGCACAAAAAAAAAAATCTAACCTGAATTGAAATTAAAATTAATACTCTGACAATTCTGTTTTGCAGTGTTAGTCAGTAAGTGACTGTCTGCGCCCGTATGGAATTAGAACGATGCCACCTTATTCCATAGTCCAGCCAATGATGCGATTCACATGCGTATATACGCAGCTAATCAACGTCGACACGCTATGACAGATGTTTTAGCTTGCAAAGTGGCGTGGCTGATGTGGAGTGAAGCCACATTAATGACAGCGTGTACAACCATTGGAGATGTGAGCAGGACAGACGGAACGATTGACGGACAAAGTGTGGACTTTATAAAAGTTTTTAAATTGTGTTGATCGGCCACGTAAAACCAGAGTTATGATAAAAATATATGCAATGTTTGGTTTTCTTCCTGAATACTATCGTTTATATTTACTGCGGGAAGAAACGGTAAAAACGGTGTTTTATAAGGAAAACGCTCGAAAGCGCTCTCCGCCTGTAAGCAAAAACAAAACCAAAAACACCCCCATCCTTTCCTATTAGTGGAAAAATGTATCATGTCGACAAATCAAAAAATGATATGGCAACATGGCATTTAGTGGTTTAGGAAGGGGGAAGTTTTAGGAGTGACGGTGGTGTTTTGAGATGTGAGAGATTTGCAACGTTTAGCGCAAATCTTGTGTAGTTAGTGTGTAGTGTAGTCAATAGTTTGTTGTGTTTCGTTGTGTGTGTCAGAACGATGAGGCGACTGCTGAATGTTACAGGTGTTACAGGAGCGATACATCTCCTGTTGTCAGGCCTGCAGGTATCAGGCTGTTGTTCTCCTTTATCTCATAGTGGACAGAAATTATTTTTTGGAGTGGCACAAATAATTTGTGTGGCATCAAATTTGATGCAGAACAGCTGATTGTTCTGTAAATAGTTTGCAATGTTTATTTTAAAAAAAACCCGCCTTGGCCGCATTTTTAGGTAAACAGCTGCAAAAAACTTTGCTTGCATAACTCTTTTTTGAAGAAGTAACTCTGTAATTAATTGCCCAACATTGGTCATTATATACTGTATTTTGCAGATAGGGAGTTAGAGGACTCTCTCTCTCATAATACAAGTCGGAGCTTTATGAAAAAAAAAGAAGAAGAAAGAAATTGTGCTGTTTAAACTTTGTAAATTCCCTCGGTTGTTTATCTTGTCTGATTATACATGACCATGCCTTCCACATAGTTCTGCTCGTTAAACTCTGGACAAAATCCATATATTTAACAGGAAGTTATTTATTAAATAGATTCAGATCCAAAACACATGTTAATGAAGAGTTTTCCCATCTGTTCCTCCAGCTGTGCAGATAATCCCAGCTCAAGTGAGCACACCCACTGCTATAAAGGTGTTAAAACAGAACCGTGGTCCCAGAGCACCTCGCATTTCAGGAGGGGAGGAGCGCAGCTCACCTGGGAACCGTACAGGTAGGATACACGCACACAGCTGCTCTCTAGGCAACTCACTTTTTGTAAAGTCAGAAAGTTTTCAAAAGTGTTCAGGGATAGAGTTTTGTCACCAATTTTAGGTTTTAGTTTTTAAATTTACAATCTGACAGTAATGTTGCTTTGCATTCAAACTGAAAATGCAACATTTTTAGCTATTTTGTCTGACAAAACCTTCCTTAATGTGCTATTTTAGACTAAATAGTTAAATACATTTAGAATTGGCAGATTTAGTAATGGTACAAAATACTCCTATTACCATTTCTAATGTTATGTTCTAATCAGTTGTGGCTGTTAAATTGTATTTTTATTGCAGATGCACACATTATATTTGAATAATCTTTTTCAAATATTTTGTGTTGTTTTTCTGTTGTCAGGTAACAATGGTCAGATCCAGCTGTGGCAGTTTCTGCTCGAGCTGCTGACCGACAAGGACGCAAGAGACTGCATCTCCTGGGTAGGCGAGGAGGGAGAGTTCAAACTCAATCAGCCTGAGCTCGTGGCACAGAAATGGGGCCAACGCAAGAACAAGCCTACCATGAACTATGAGAAGCTCAGTCGAGCCCTCAGGTTTGTGTGTTTTTGTTTAATAGCGACTTTTTGTGGCACTCTATCTAAAGTTTGGAGCCAGACATAAGCCATTACCTCACAGGCACCGCAGACAAATGTCTGGTGCAGTGAGATTGACTTTAAACATGCTGCCAACTTTCCAGTACAAAGTCGATTTAGAGTGTAGCTGCAAGTTAGCAAGGCTTCCTCCTGCAGACGCGACAGCAGTCTTCTTAAAACAGAATATTTCCAGTAGTAGGCCGATAGGATGATGCTGACTGTTTCCCTTATGTGGTAATAACAATAATAAAAATAATAGTACATTTTATTTTTTGGCGCCCTTCAAACACACCCTTTGCAAGCCTGAACATTACAGCTAAAAGGGGGATTTTCCTGTCAGTGTAGCTAGCCAAACAACGGAGAACCACTTACTGCTTAAGAGACAGAGTGAAAGTGGACAGTAGATCCTTGATGTCTTAACAAAAATCTCATTGTTGCAGCCAGAGACAGCAGAAGAGTGATCCCCTTATTTTCAGTTTCAGTGCCCTTTTTTATGACTGAGTTATTGTTTTTGTTTTTTTTTATTAGTTAGCTAAAATAAACTACTGTAAGTCTATTAGCAGTAATTAACCAATTAACCTGGAGATAACACATTCTGTACTGACACAAGATGGCGCTCAAAACTTTAAACACTTATCTTAAATCCAGCTTCACAGACAGTGTGACATCTGTCAGGTTTTTGAGAGCAGGGCACCATGGTGTAAATGAGCCTTTATACATGTAGTGCAACATGCCCACTTTAAAATAAACATAAAACATAATAAATGAAATGGTCGTAGCTTAGTTATAGCAGGGTTTTGAGATGCGATTTGAACTGTGTCAAAGAATTTAGGCGATAAAAGTGAAGTGGAAGTAAATTCCAAAGACAAAGTGCATCACACCTAAAGGCTCTGGCACCCATCGCTCAGCAGGAGAGCAGCTCAAGCTGAGTAAAGGGAAGGGGTGTAAGGATGAGGGAGGTCTGAAAGATATGGGGCTGCCAAGTCACCGAGAAGGAAAATCTTGCATTGGATATGCTGAGGAATAGGGAGCCCATGAAGCTGGATGAGAATGGCTGTAATATGGTCAGAGTTCTGTACCGTCTGGAGCTGATTAAGGAGATTTTCTGGGAGACCATAAAGAGTGGCATTGCAGTAATCCAAATGAGAGGCAACCAGGACATGAACCAGGACTTGAGTGCTGTGTTGAGAAAGAAGTCTAGAAATCTTAAGTGGGTGGTAGTAGGCCAAATGTGATGTGGACAATAAAGAGTATTGTCCAAGATGACTTTAAGACTTTTGACGCTTTGAGAAGTGTGGACCTGACAACCATCTTTAGAGACAACAAAAGGGTTTATTTTGTGAAGTCAGGATAACTTTTATTGCCATTGATGTTTAGCTGATTGACTGTCACCCTAGTAGTGATGGCCTGTAGGCAGGAGTGACGATCCAAGATAGCAGGATATGAAGAGGAAGAAGTGAGGTTCTTTCTGCTACAAAGAGAACTTAGAACAAACCTGATTATTCTGATATTTTAAAATGTAAAGCTGCTGTAATATAAAAGAACGGATACACTGATGTATTGTCCCTTATTAATTTGTTGAAAGCCATCTGCATATCTGTTGTCTCTCATCAGTTGATATACTTTGGTGTGATTCTGAGTTTTGTATTTTCATTCAGATACTACTACGACGGGGACATGATCTGCAAGGTGCAGGGCAAGCGCTTTGTTTACAAGTTTGTGTGTGACCTGAGGACTCTGATTGGCTACAGCGCTGCTGAGCTCAACAGCCTGGTGACCGAGTGCGAGCAGAAGAAACTGGCTCGCATGCAGATGCACGGCATCGGGCAGCCGATCACTACAGTGACCCTGGCCACCACAACGCTAGACAAGGACAGCTGAAGGTCGTCACATTATAGCGCTTGTCAGGTGTTGCGGACAAAACGTGCGCTCCACCGCTGATGAAAAACGTCTCTCAGACACAGAAATGCAAAGCTGGTCTCTGATCAGCGTGGATTACCACCTTTATTATTGTCTTTACAGTTTGATTCAAGTTAGACTGAGACAGGTGAAGTTTTTTTAGCTTTTCTGTTACTCTAACCAAGAGAAGAGTGTTCAGGATGAAGGGAGAATGTCTTTCTGATTACTGATTGTTGCGTGCATGTCACTGAATGCTTGAGTGTGACTGAAAAATCCAGTTAAGAGCTTTGTGTTGTGTGTTCCTCGTCTGTAGTTAGGACCATTTCCACTGTATATACCGGTATTTCATGTTTTTGATAGCCACAAGGGCAAGTGTATTTTCATATTTTCCATTTATAGAGGACCCGTTTTGTATTTTATTTAGTGTTTGTTCCCTGAATTATTGGACCCTTTTTGTCCACTGGGGGAATAAAGTGGCAAGCATTTTCTTAATAGCTGTGTGAGAAGTTTCTCTTTTTAAGACTCACATTGACAGACACCCAAATGCTTCTATGTACATTCAAAATTTTATTGATGGTATAGTGAGTGTAGAAAGCTTTTTCTAAGCAAATTGTTCATTTAATTACACACAGAGAAAGGTCACTGAATCAATGAGCAGAGGGACAAAGAGTTTGTTTCATCACTAGGCTCCAAAGATACCCAGAGTGAGCATCAATACAAATTGAAACATTTACCTGATTAAGAGCTTCAGTCAGTGTCTATCCACGTGTGGGTGCAATGTGCAGGTGATATGTGTTGTATTTCTCATAGAAATGCACAATATGTCACATTCATGGTTAATAATTTAGAGAGAGGGCCATGTGTCCGTGACATGTGGCAAATTGTTTCCTCTTCACAAGTTACAGATTCGACAGGAGCTGAAATATTGAGCACAGGATAAACAGAAGCGCTGTACACGTATACATAGGTGATGTAGAAAAATAGAACGTGACATTTGGTGGAGGAATGTGTCCAGAGAGGAGAAAATGTCTGATTTCCCCACGCCCAAACAGTCCTATTTATGAAATGCTCACGTACAACGTCCCAAAGTGCCGCAATGTACAATATTGCTGACACAGCAAGAAGGAGAGGATAAACATGAGGGATGGGGAAGGGGGGTTGGGAAAGAAATGACTGGAAGTGGGAATGGAAGTGAAGGAAGGTGTCGTCATCTGAATTATTTACAGCAAAGACAGTGGAATGATAGGCTTTCATAAAAACTTTCCATCTTAAAAGGTTTGAACCTCGAGCCTCTTTCTAAGAAAAATCCAAAGTGCAGCGACAGTTGGCATCAGAGACTGTAACAGCAATATTTGGTGGCAATAATCAAAAATGACAAGAGTGCATAGAACGCAAACAAGTAACACAATCATCTTCCTTTCAGATACTATTACACTTCATATATTACATACATAGAGCTTTTTTTTCTGCCCATGCAGCTAACACAACAGTGAAGCATGGAGATGAGCAATAAAGAGCCAAGATTCAATTAAAGCAAGTCTGTGACGACAAAGCAGCCCGGATTCTGAATACTCGTTTTTTTCTTCATGTCACAAAGAAGACACCAGAAATGTACAATCCTTCTAAAATATCTAGGGAGAGGACCCCCCCTCCCCCTCCTCATCCTGAGGACCTCCACATACAGTATACTTTTAATCAGTCATCAATATTGCCATGCACTACATATACTTACAGCTAATCTCTGTCTTAATATATTACACGTTTAAAAAAAAAATTTAATGTTTTTTTCCTGCTTTTACATATTTTTGATTGTATATATTTATGTATTTTTTTTCTTCATTTTTTTGAAAAATAAACCTGAAACACTATATTCGTGCGACGGGTCGCTCTGAGAGCTCTCGTCGGACCGGTTTGAGGAGCAGTGAGGAAGTAATTGGTAAATTACAAGTTTTGGCTGTGGGTGTCTTACTGCCGTGATGTCGTATAAACAGTCGACGGGGGGTTTTCCAGTACAAATGCTATGAGAACTCCAGGGGCTGACTGAAATGTGTAGGTGTAACAGGGTACCTTTGTCTAACCGAGCTGCTGGGTAATGCTTAGCTCTGTACAATCAAGGGATTTAAGGAGGCTTTGTTCCATATCAGTTTTCTTTGGCCCAAACCCCTGACAAAAATGTCTCCTTTCCTTACTTTCAAAGACACAAACCAGGCTATGCAGTCATCCTCGCACCCTTCACCTCCTGAACAGGGTGCTGAAGGTGCTGGGGCTGAGGGCAAAGGAGCTGAATAGAACAGAGCGCAGGCCGACACTGTGGGGGTCGAGGAAATGTTGTTGTGCAGCTCTTTAGTTCTGCATCTGCTCGAAGAATTTGTAGGTGGGATTCTCGTAGCCGTTCTGCTGCATCTTGGCCAGGTGACGCTCCTCTGGTGTCACAGCTGCATCCACCTTTGGACAAGAGGAGGAGGAGTTACTAACACGCGAACCATGTTTGATCTATGAGCACAAACTGGTGAGCCTTTTACCTCGATCACGCCGTGGTGAATTGAAGTGTACTGTTTCTTCCTCAGCATCACCAAGGTAATGACGATGACTGTTGCTATGACCACCCCACCAACCATCAGCCCGATAATGGCGCCTTTATTGGATCCAGCGTCATTAGCGAAAAACACCTGACATTTAAAAAAAAAAAAATATTAAGTCAGTCATAAATCCCTGAAGGAGATGATATTTGATGACTGGGTTTGCTGGGTTTTCCTACCAGTTTTTCATGATAAACTTCATATCCAGCACTCTGCCTCTCTTCAGTCTCCATCCGCACTTCTGGCATCTCCTCCGGCTTCAGGGCAGACACTGAAACCACAGAATCAATCACCCAAATTAATCCCAGAAATTGAGCACATGGATTTCTGCATCTCTCCTAAAACGGAGAGAAACAGAAAATCATTTGCACCTACAGCCATCAGGCCTTTTAATTCTCATCCAAATAGCAGATGAGCTATTTAAGACATATGAATTTCCCTCTGGGAAAAAAGAAAAAAAAAAAGATTCTTATCCTTAGTCTTATAGGAAATGAAGCAGTAGAAAGAAATTTAGAGGTGAAATAAAACCCCAAACTGTCCTTTAATACACAAACAGCGGGAGGAGGTGATTTCATTTGACACTGTGGATTCCTGTAAAGTCCTCAGACTACGTGGGATTATTTGCCTCCGTATTAATCTATCAAGTAGTTGAACAATTTTTGGTGGATCAAAGGACACTTAAAAGAGTCTCATCGAAACCCAGGAGCCAACCACATCTCAAATGAATCTCAAAACTGGATATAAACCTGCCTTGTACTTTTGAGATGTTTTTATTTGGCATAAGCGTCAACTGCTATTATCCAATTATAATCATTAATCCTTCACCCACAGCAACTGATAGAAAACTTGCGTGTGATTCAAATACAAATCATTTACAGGAAAGGATTACAACAGCTTTGTGCAGATGTTGCAACACTTTGATATGGACATATGCACACCACTTATTATTGTAACATTGTAGAGTATTTCAATCACTTTACTGCCCAGTATCTTGTTTGTGTGTTTAGTGTTATGAGAACATGTGTGCAGTAAGACTGCAAAACCACAATCAACACCACAGCATGTGAGTGACGGTCTACTCTGTCTCACCCTCTTTATAGGAAATATGAGTTACTACCATAATGTCAGGAGTACAGGGTACCACCTTTTTTAAAATTTCTCAGATATTCTTCTCACCTCATGATCCCACCATCATTAGGTGTGAGTCTCCTGTCACACTGTGGTGCTCCGATTCTTGGTGATGATGTCGCTGCCGTTATGGAGCTCACTTATGTTTATCTATAAGACACTTCTCTATCAAACACTAAATGTTTTTTTTCCCAAAAGGATCAAGGATCTACAACCTAATATTAAAGAAAGCCTGAAAGCTTTAGTGGAATTATAAAGACTCAGGAAACTGTAATAACTTATTGCTGTCTTTCAGCTCTCCAACTAACAGTTTAAAATCACTCATTTAAGGTTAGCTTTTCGCTCCTGATGCTTTTAGATGCCACTCTTCTTCCTCCTCTCATTTCCCTCATCCCCAAACCAATTGTGCCAGAATGCTTCCCCCTCCTTTAGCCTGGTTCTGCCAGAGGTCTCTTCATCATGTGTGTCCTCACAGGGGATTCTCTCTAATATCGTAGGCTCTTTTTCATATAGTATAAAGCACCTTATAATAACTGTTGTTGAACTGGTGCTTATTAAATAACAGGAATTGAATGAAACTGAATATAGCCAGTGTTATATTATGTTCATACTCCCTGAGGTCTCTCTCTTCAGTCTCCTTCTCTCATCTGCTTAAGAGGAGCACAAGCTGCACCTGTGCTGCTGTTTCGACTGACTCTTAGCATGAGGTCTGGCAAGTGCAATGTTAGAAACGACCTGAATTTTGAAACCTGTCCTTAATATGCAGTAAATGTATACGAGTGAGGATGTACTTGTGTTTCCGTTTGGATGTCACATACATACCAGGTCGTGTGGGGAGTCCTCTGTCTGGAATTGGACGAGCATCGACGGGTTCAACTACAGAAATACAGCGTGTAACAAAAATATTCAATATCAAACCACATTTTTAAAAAGTTAATAAAATTCAATTTATGTCACAAAATGTAGTGTGTGTTACCGTGGTTCTCTGTGTTGGGCTGATTGAAGCTCTCAGGGTGAATGAACCCCAGCCCATCCAGGCCAGGGTCCATAGGAGCCGAGCTGTAGGCCTGATCAGGCATCAGAGCGTCGTTGCCATAACTCACCCTGCCGTCCATCTGTAAACACAGAGGAATGTTAATCAGGATACGTGGCGTGTGGGTGGCCTTTTTATTTACAACCCGATCAAATTATGATGACTATGTGGAAAAGATCACTAATAAAACCTCATTTAAACAGGCGCAGTATCACAACATCCTTTTCTTTGTTAATCGCTTTAATTACACTACACTCCCATCACGTCAGTGGTTAAAGTGACTTTGTTTTGTCATGTCAGTCTATGTGATTCCAATATTTATGCCAGAAAGTCCACGTTCACAAAGAAGACTTTGCATTTGTGAGTTGGTGCAACTTGACTCACCCGACCATCGCTCTGCAGTGAAGAGACTTGCTGAAACAGCTCCACCTGAACTCGCTGCATTATAATTGCTACAAAGAAAAGGAACAAAATGAGAATGAAGCAGATGGTTAAGTGATGACAAATCCGAGAAAGGAATGTGGCGGTTAGAGAGAAAAACAAATCAAGGCTACACAATAGCCTAAAGTGGTGAAAGTAATCGTGGTGGACTGAAACTGCATTATCAGTGTTTTAGTGTCCTGTAATCAGTGGACTTCAAACATGTTAAAAGCATCGCTTTAATTCACACTACAGGGAGTTAAAGGGTACTGAATAAGTGTGGTTTGGATGGTTGTTGCATAACACAGATTGTATAATCTCAAGTTTTATATTTAATCAGGACAATATAAGATCTCAGAATCTCTTTTTACATATGCTGCCCAAAGTAGCAGCACATGCATAACAACAGTTAAGTACATGCAATTAGAAAATAAACATACATAAAAACAGAGAAACAACCAAAATTTATAAACTTCTTTGTCAATAAAAAATGAATACCTCAGTAAAAGTAACTGTCTAATGCTGGAAACGAAGGTAATAATACTCAGGCGAAACATTTGTATCCGAGGAATTTAAAAATTGCCTTAAATTTATGAAGTTAGAGCAGTCCCTCAAGTTTTAGTTGATTCTTGCTTATTTCAGGAGGAAATTCCAAATTCTACATGACCCTTTGGGACAGGTAGAGGGAATGAATCTTGGGACCTTGGGGCCTAAAAGACAAGCTTCCCACACTTTTTTTGATGAACGCAATTACACTTGTTTTCTTAATAACGGCCAGAACTGGTCTGATTCGATATGTAGCCATCTGTAGTGGACTACAACAGTGAACCAGGGGAACTGAAAAAACCTGATGAAAGATGCAACATTTATTATCTGACTTTTTCACTCTCTTTTATGAGCTGAGACTGTCCGTTGAATATTACTGTCACTGTGGCTGGACTTATGCTTTGCCCTACACTAATGTTGAAAGGCATATTCACATTTCTGCCATTGTCAAATACAGGCTTTTGCAGTTACATATAATCTGTAGGAGTTGGTACACACCTCATGCTGTAACTGCATATCTACATGAGATCTCCTCTGCTTCACCTTTCTTGGTAACAGCTATCAGTCTTTCGGTGAAGCATGCTCACCTTTATTTCTTTTTAATATTACATTCTGTTCCAGCATGGTCCCTTTGACCCACTAAGCACTGGTCTCTGCCTGAACAGCATGCCTTAGGAACGAATTGAGAAAGACTTTCTCCCAGCAGGTAAACTGCCTCGTCAAACAAACCAAACAAACCAAAACAAACAAACAAAAAACATAAAATATAAGTGAAAAACTTTAGTCATCAGCTTTCACAGCAATTAAACAAACATGCTATTATGTGCCAAGTAAGACAAGTGCTGACAGGTGGAAGGTTTTCCCCATTCTGAAGGCAACAAAACAGCCATTTAATAGGACTGTGAAAATAATGCCTTTTGCTGAGCACTTGTAACCCTTGCTGAGTGAGCAATCACATTTAGCATGTGAATAAAACAACAAGAATACTTTCACAGATTTCGCAACCTATGACATAATTTTAACACCAACTGCCTAAAACCAGTGAGGCACTGGAGGCTACAAATGACATTTGGATGAATTCTCAGTAATAGATGTTTCGGGGATTTACTGTGACGAGTGTCCTCAACCTTTGACTTTTAACAATAAGACGTGAATAAACACATACCGACTTGGTTTTGGATCTCATTTGCCACACTTGGCACCTTGTAGAGCAGACCCAACGACTGATTCATCCTCTCATCAATGACACGAAGATGAGTCAACACCTGGAGATGAGAAAAAAGCCCACTTTGTGATTGTGTCCATTTTAAAAGCCGTAACTTATTTTTATGATGCTCAAAGACTTTGACTGTTTGATCCAGATACCTGAGGGCGGATCTGAGCAGCCTTCTTGGGATCGACTGTGCGGACGTGCTCATAATGCTTCAGCGTGTGCTGCCTGTCCTTCTGCTCTGCACGGATGTACTTTTTCAGCAGGCTCAAAACTTGACGGGACTGGTGGTGGCACAGGGTTATGTAATAAGTGGAATTATAACACCTTGGATACACTTCTTAAACATGTGCGCCTTGCTGATAAACAACCTCAAAAGACTCATTGATCGAAACTGTTTGGCACCAATTTAGAGTATTAAATCAATGTAGCGTTCCTGTTATTAGGATGTTGTTAGGTGTGTGGGGACGTGTGCGTACCCGTGGAGGATTGGCCTGCAGGGCGCTTAGGTAATTTTCGAGAGCCCGGCGTCGGCGGCTGTTCAGCAGAGCTTCCACCCGGGCCATGTGGGTTTCCACCAGCTGCTGCCTCTCCCCCGCTGCCTCCTGCTCCAAAGTCTCCACCTTTATCTGGAAGTGCTGCAGATACAGTACTTTTTACACAGTCAGTATATGAACAAATACCCACACTGCAATACAGTAGAAACATGTGTTTGGAAAGAAGAGGTCTGCCTTATTTCCACCATTAAATACAATGATACACTTTCTACCTCAGGCCTGACAGATATATTGGCTAACAAGTATCACAGGCTGATATTGGCCATCATCATTTATTTATCTGAAATGTATTCTACAGGGTTAAAAATACTGACGGCCTCCAATGCTACTCCTCAGCCTTCTTGAGTTATCACATTTACAAGATTTTCAGAAGACTTGACATGTGGACCTTGAGGTCAAGTATTTTAGTAGATGCACATATGGTATCAATTTTCAAATTTTAAGCTGCCTCATTCTTGAATTGTCTTGTTCATAAACTTAGATGTCCATGCTGCTCGCCCAGCCACCCATCGGGATGACGACAACACCCCATCGTCCTTTTACTGCTCAAGTGTAAGATGAACCTCTCGTTGACCCTTTTCAGAATATCAGCTGACACATCGTCAATTACAATTATTAAATCTTATTTTTATCTCCCTGTCGCAAACTCCATGGACATTTAAATCCATTCAATTCATTAGGGTTAATTAAGATATAATAACTCACTTAACTGGCTTTAAATGTAATCTCCCTTATAAATGCACCCGTAACCAAGAAACTCAAAATTCTATTTCTCTTAAACTTTTGCCAAATTTGTCCAGGATAATATAAATCTCAGTTATGTAATGTATATGTATGTAATTTAACTCTTTTTGGCAATTAGACATTTACAGCAGACACTGTGGCCTGATTCCTACCTGGATGACTGCTTTCTTGTCTGCACGAGGCAGATTCTTGGCCTGCCTCTCAGCCTCCTCCCACTCCTTCATAACCTGAAGTGTCAGATTGAAAGAAAAAGCAAGACGTTTAAG